TGGGCTGCGCCCCGCGTCCTGGCCCTCGGTTAACGCTTAACCGCGCCTCGGGAGCCTGAGGCTTGAGCCGCGCCCCCAGCACCTGACCTTTGGCCCCGCCTGCCCAAATGAGGGGGAGGGAGGTGGGGTGACCCCAGAGGCCCTCCCCGCCCGCCCGGACCCCTCCTCCCGCGCCCCACCATCCCCGCGCCCCACCCCAGGCGCCCTAGGATGAGCTTGGGGGCGGGGGTCGTGCGCGTCGACCGTCCTACCTGTGCGCGAACGTGGGCCAGACCCTGCCGAGGAGCGGGGGTGGGGATGGGGGCCCGAAGGTGCTCGGCGTTCCTGGGGCGAGCTCTCGGGGCTCGGGCCCTACGCTGGGCGCTACGATAGAGGTTTGCGTGTCTCAGAAGCCGAGAGGAGAGGAACGCTAGGGGCGGGGGCGGCGTGGGAGACGCCGCGGCGGAGGGAGTGCCCTGCAGGTGGGGAAAGGCCTGAGCTCAGACCTGAAGGTGAGCAGCGAAAGTGGAGGGAAGTCCCGAGAGGTAGGCTGAGGGGGGCGCTGTGCCGGGGAGTCCGGGCGGCTGGAGCCGCGGAGGGCCCACCCTGCCCTGTCCCCGCGCCTGCTGCCGCCCCCCGGCCGCTCTCCGTAATCCGCCGGCACAGTCGGCGGTTCCCGGCAGAACCCTGGTGCCTGACCCCGACCTGGGGGTAGAAGTACCCTGGAGGGCGGAAACCCACCTGCCGTGGGAAGCCTAGGAGTGCATGAAGTGGGCGGGCCTCCTGTGCAGGCTCCCGGCAGGACCGGTGGTGGGAGCACAGGCTGCGAGGGGACCGGAGTGGTTCAGCTGGAGTGGGGGTGGGGGAGGCTGCGGCAGGCCAGGTGATCAAGGAGTTTGGACTTCATTCCAAGGACTGTATGGCGCCAAAGGGAGGGTTTGGTGCCGGCTGAGGCCTGCTCAGATGAGGGTTTTAGAGAGCTCCAGGGGTGGAGGGTGTGGATGGGAGAACTGGTCTGGGGAGAAGGGGGATGGTCAGATGTCCAAGCAGAGCGCAGGGCTGGAAGAGGTGGGGCCCATGAGAGGGGAGGAAGTTGGCCTTAGTATTCCTGGTTTGGCCCCCAGACCTTGGGGATGGCATCAGTGGCCCCATGCCCCACCCCCCACTCCCACTGGCTTCCGGGTAAGTTGGCCTCCAGCCCAGAGGTTGGGGAATTTCCTCAGCTCCCTCCTTGCTGGGCGCAGACCTGTTCTCCCTGAGGCCCCAGACTCTACCTTTTCAGAGCCTGATTCAGGATCTGCTGGCTTCTCCAGCCCCTTGTCCACACCTTGGTAAATGGCCCTTAAAAAAGCCCTCTCTCGGGCCGGCCGAGTGGCGTGATGGTTAAGAACTGGCTTGGGACGCCAGAGGGCCCCAGTTTGGATCCCACATATGAGGGTCAGTGACACTGCCTTCTACAGCTAAGATGCTGAACAGCAGCTCAACCTGGAGCTAGGCTGCCGTGAGTAGCCAGCGACAGCGTAGGCTGGAAAAAAAAAAACCCAAAAAAAGCCCTCTCTCTTTGCATCTTTCACCTGCCAGGACCCAGACTTCCTCCACCATTAGGGAAGCGAGGAGGCAAGGCCCATGCCCAGTGGTTACCCGGACCCCTTGCTGTCAGTGGGAAACAGGTAAGCAGGCCAGGAGAGCGGGTGGTCAGCAGTTGAGAGTTTGACACTGGGATGGGGAGATCTGAAGACACTCAGGTGAGCTGGCCAGTAGCATTTGAGAGTTCAACAGAGCTAGGGGAGCAGCTTTAGGCGTCATCAGATGTGGGTGGCACTTGGAGCGATAGGGGGGGGAGTAGAAAGGAGGTAGACAGAGCCAGGAACCCTCAGGAAGGGTGAGGCCAGAGTCCCCCAAACCTGATCCATGCATTGATTGCAACCCAGTAAAGAAGCTACAGGTTGTTTTTATAGCTATGCGATCCAGTTCTAAAGTCCCTGAGGAAAAGAACAGGTGCAGGAATGAAGACGCTGAAAAGGGCTTGAGTGGCCAGGTCTCCAAAGGAGACGCACAGATGGCCAACAAGCACATGGAAGGGTGCTCGCCATCCTTAGCCATCAGGGCGATGCAAACCAAAACTACACTGAGACCACTTCCCACCCGCTGGGATGGCTGCCATCAGGAAAAAATGGAAAATAGCTAGTATTGACGAGGATGTGGAGAAAAGGGAACCCTCATGCACGGTTGGTGGCAATGTAAATGGTGCAGCCACGATGGAAAACAGTATGGAGGGTCCTCAGAAACTCAGAAACAGAGCTATGTTATGATCCAGCAGCCCCACTGCAGGGTGGAATTCCACCCGGGAATTG